CCCAGATTGACGTGTACAGCCTTGACCTGAGTATAGGAAGATAACGCGTACGCCCCGAGCTCCCTACCAATACCGCTCTGCTTGTATCCACCAAATGGGATACCGAAATGCGAGTCTTGAGAACTGTTGATCTGTATCGTTGTTAGCGCCTGTCCCAGCAAGAAAAATTGAGTCTAGAATCTCGCGGGCATGACTTACCCAAACCATACCCGCCTCGATTGCACCTGCAACACGGTGTCCCCTCATAATATCTTTGGTGAACACAGCCGCTCCTAGACCAAACTCGGTATCGTTCGCCTTCTCAACCGCTTCGTCTTCTGTCTTGAAGCTCTGGATGACCACAAATGGACCGAAGATCTCTTCTCGTACAATCCTCATGTCATTGCTACAATTAGCGAAGACGGTCGGCTCAACAAAGTATCCCTTCTCTGGGATGCCGTCTTGCTTGCCGCCATGGATGAGCTCTGCCCCATCCGATCTCGCTGTATCGACGTAGGATAAGATCTTTTGTTGAGCAGCTTTGCTGATCTGAGGTCCATGGTTGGTGTCAGCATCAAACTGCGACCCAATCTTTGTGTTCTCTTTGGTCTGCTTCTTGAAAGCTTCGAGGAACTTGTCGTAGATGGTGTCTTGAACATAGAGACGCGACGTCGCGGTGCAAACTTGGCCACTGTTACCTGGGTAACTTGGTCAGTCCCTGTACAGCAAGTAGACGTCTCGAAGTTGAGAGGGCGTACCCATAATACCCATGTGCGACCACTTTACAGCCTGGTCGAGATCGCAGTCGTCGAATACCAGAAGAGGACTCTTGCCGCCGGTCTCCAGAGTAATGTTCTTCAGGTTATTGGCGGCAGCTCTCATGATACTCCGGCCAGTAATGGTGCCTAAAAGGTGCGGGTACCAAGTCAGTGCATGTCTCACATGCAGTTCATACAAGTCCATTGCTTACTTCCAGTGAAGGCAATTTTGTCGACGTGTGGGTGCTCAGAAAGCCGCGAACCAGCGCCCTTGCCATAGCCGTTGACGATGTTGACTACACCTGAAGGAAAGCCAGCCTCTTTGATTAGACTCGCAAGGAACAGGGCACTGAGAGGTGTCTGCTCTGCCGGCTTAAGCACAACAGTATTACCACAAGCCAGTGCTGGGCCGAGCTTCCAAGCAGCCATCTGAGTGTTTATCAGCTTCGGAGGTACTCCAGAAGGCTGGATAGATACGTACCATGACGGGGAAATTCCACGGTATGATCTGTCCACACACGCCAAGAGGCTCATGCTTCGTATACGCCAGCTTTGCGTTGCTTGTCTCAATCGTCTGTCCATAGACCTTATCCGCCCATCCAGCGTAATATCTGAATACCGAGATAGTCTCTGCTACGTCTTCGTCCAAAGCTTGCTGGTAGGGCTTGCCATTGTCCCAGGCATCGATGGTAGCAAGGATATGGCTGTTCTTCTCACAAAGGTCACCGAGCTTCCATAGCAGCTGGCCACGTTCGGCAGCAGACAGATCCCGCCATGCTGACGACTTGAACGCTGTGCGTGCTGCAGTGACTGCAGCATCTATGTCATCTTCGCTACCAGCGGAGACCTTTGCGATAACGAGTTCATCATATGGGTTTATCGTTTCTAGCGTGGAGCCAGATTTGGAAGGAACAAACTCGTTATTGATGAAGAGGCCTAATGAATGTCAACCTCATATGTCTTAGACTTTGAGCTCGCTCACGCCTACCAGTAGGTTGTGTCCATTTCGTGTCATTGGGGGCTGTAAGCTCAATTGATTGTGCCATATTGGTATATGTGGATATGAGAAAATGAGTGTTAAACAGTAACGAAAAGCGCATTCAATGATGGGAAATATGTCATATGAACAATGTTGGACATCTAAGGTCTTTCATATCTTGCGCTCATCAAATAGGACTCCATCAAGGCAACCCCGCACTGAGGCTGAGCGGAAGTTTGTCTCATAATTTGATCTAGTCATGACCATCATCCTGATCCGATGAAAAATGCCCATCGCACTTCCTAAAGCAGACAAGACCTAGATCAAGTCGCATTGCTGGCGACATGTAAAGCATGCGGGTCTCGATCGGCACATTTGAACTACGAAGCGCGGCAGCAGACCCAAGTCTCTTGAAAGGCTTTTTTTTTTGGCATCATTCTCGCTGATTTTCCGGAGTATGTACAACCTTTACATTAGCCAGTGATCTATCCAGGTGATAAGATAGCCTCAATAGCTTCGTGATCGGTTTTGCCTGTCAACTTGCCGTCTTCGGTATAGTGCCATGCTAAGGCAAAAGCTCCACTCTCAGGGCCCAAACTTCCGATCGACGTCTCGACTACGCCAGCACGCGCGTTAACATTGCCCTCCAAACTTCTTCCTCCGGTATAGTCGTTGTTCGGAGCTTCAAGACGCTTCTGCTTGATGACAGACAGGTTAGCGAGAGATAAGCTTTTACTCCACCAAAGTCACATGTGTACGCTTTGCACGCGAAACCTGGGGCCCCGGACGACGATCAGAGGCCTATCATCCTTCCAAACTGAGGCATAGCTGATTATTCAACATCGCTTATCAAGACGTGACACTATGACGAGTCGTCAGGCGTGCGATCAGTGCATGCTCAAGCTGGAATCAATGCAAGGGTAGTCTGGGGTAAAGAGCCAGCATGAATGACATTCCCTATCTGTGGATATGGACCATCATCATATCTTATCATGGCGAACGCCACGTTGTTAGACAAAGATACGCTAGGGATGTACGAGATGAGTTGAAACTGCTCGTGATGGCTATATTCGACCACTTCGTACAGACCCTCAACTTCACACTCTTTCTACTACTCCTTCAAAATCGGAATCCAGTTCTTTCTCATCATGTTATCGTCTACCAACGAGAAAAAGCTCGGAAACCCTATGAGCCCTGTGACTACCCATGAGGAAGGCATCGTTGAGCACGTTCATTTGGGTTACAATGCCCAGCTTACGAAGAATCGGTCATTGATCTCTGTTCTGGGGATGTGCCTTGCCATCGTTGCAGTGCCGTATGGTATTGGTGGACCTTTGTGAGAATTGCCCCTACACGAACTGTATATGAGACATAAACTGACTTCGTACGCGTACGTTGTAGGATGAGCGCCATCTATGGTGGTGGTCAGCTCTCCATATTCGTCGGTGTCCTCGTCGTACTCTTCTTCAACGGCTGCGTGGCCATCTCACTCGCGGAGCTAGCATCTCGGTATCCGACATCGTCTGGGGTGTATTACTGGTCATATCGGCTATGCGGCGAACGCAAAGGAATACGCAAGATTGTGTCGTTCTTGACGGGCTGGTTCTGGCTCATCGGAAACTGGACGATTGCGCTTTCTGTCAACTTCGGGTTCGCTTCTCTCATCGCTGCGACGATCTCGGTTCACAACCCAGAGTGGATGGCATCAGACTGGGAACTGCTGCTCATATTCTATGCGCTGTGCATGTTGGTATTCCTTGCATGCTCGTTTGGAGATAAACTGTTGCCGTACGTGGACTCCGTGGCCGCTGTATGGAACTTTGTTACCATCATGGCACTGCTAGTTGGTTTACTGGTTCGCGCACAGAAAGGCCGTCATTCTGCCTCTTACGCCCTGGGGAACTACGACAGTAGTTTCTCAGGTTGGGGTACAGGCTTTACCTTCTTCATCGGCCTCCTCCCACCTGCGTACGCTTTCTCTGCCATCGGCATGGTAACATCGATGACAGAAGAGTGCGCCCAGCCTGAGGTCGAAGTCTCTCGCGCTATCGCCCTGTGCATACCCTTTGGTGGCATTGCTTCCCTGCTGTTCGTCCTACCGTTATGCTTCGCGCTTCCACCACTCGAAGACATCCTCAATGCACCTTATGGCCAAGCGCTACCATACGTCGTATACTCCATCATGGGATCGAAGACTGGAGCCTTGATCTTGATGATAATGATCCTATTCGTTACACTCTTCTGCGCTATCGCAATTACAAACGCTGCTTCCCATTGCACATGGGCGTTCAGTCGCGACAAAGCGCTTCCCCTTGCTAGCCTCTGGACATGCACCTTCGCCGACCGACCAATATATTCCCTCACGCTCGTCACAGCCGTCGAAATGTTGCTTGGTCTGATTAACCTAGGTTCCAGCAGCGCTTTCACTGCTTTCGCATCCGTAGGCGTCATCGCACTTGCCATTGGGTACCTCATTCCTATCACCATCTCTCTCTTTACCGGTAGAAAGGAAGTCGCACATGCAAAATGGAACGTAGGCAGCCTGCTTGGCACCACAGCGAATATTGGTGCCATCGCATGGATCCTCTTCGAGATGGTGTTGTTTAGTATGCCAACCGTACTTCCTGTTACGGAAGTCTCTATGAACTACGCTAGCGTTGTGTTGATTGGTTTTGCTTGTTTGAGTGCGCTGTGGTATGCGATTTCTGGTAGGAAAGGTAAGTACCGAAAAGACACCTGTACAATGAAGCATGGCCGGATACTCTACTGACAACATTCAGAGTTTAATGGTCCTCCTGATGAGGTTTACAATGTTCATTAAGGCTTCAAATCTCTCACAGTCTTCGCTGTCGGAGAATACATTCGGATTTAGGCTCCTTTGATTGAAAAATCACAATTAGTCCTAGTGATACAAATATGCAGCACTTGATTACAAAGCCGTGTCGGTAGTCGATAAATTTTACCCATGGTGATTGTGAACATTGTGAAATATATTTTCCCATCTTCAGCAGAATCTCTGCTTCGCTGCTTTGATTTTCATGTTAACTCAAAGATAATGTAAGATATAGTTCCGAAGGGCTGACGTGATATACCCTAAGCGTACTGATAAGGATGATCTCTTTGTTTAGACATATCAAATACTGCAAGCGTATATCTGATTCATTGAGCGTTGGGTAAGGATGGCACACTCAGTGACAAGGGAAACCAGGTAGCAGGGAAAGCCTGTATCTAGCAATGAGGTATGGGTTCTAGATTGTTTTCCAACACAAACATCCATAAGGCAATCAGAAGGGAAATTCACCTTCCGGTTTCTCCAACACCCCACCATCAACCTGCTTCTTATGTTCTTCATCTAGATATGGAAGGAGCAATCCTTCCCAATGTTCTCTTCCCTTGTAGTAGCTGACAGTCTCGTCCCAACTCCTGATCGCCTCTGCCAACCGTCCTGGAACATGCGGCTCTTTCGCGATAGTAGTAACCGGCTCGAAGTATGTTCGGATGGTAAAGAGTAGGGCTTTAGACTTCGGAAGACGTCGAAGCGATTGCCTTTCCGAGCGGAAGTGGATATCTTCAACACGAAGACCTTCGGAATTGGCGGTAGCCCATGAGGCAACTGTATTGGAGTTTTGGTCGCCCATACGGTGGGACCACGCAAGACCGTCATCGAGCTGGATGAAGAACTACAGCTGATCAGCACAGGAAGCTTGTAAGGTGGAGCGGGTATCTTCGTTACGTTGTTCCGAATGACAGGTTTTTCACACGTCATGTTGGCAAAGAACCGGTTCATCGCCTTTTGTAATTTCTCTTGATAATGAGGTACCCCAGCTTCGATGTGAAGCTCGTCGAGCGACATGCGGTACTTCTCAGTCAAGCGCCAGAAGCCAGGTAAGCAGACCGCTCCGGCATCTATGTGGTAGTGGCCATCGTCGTTGAGTACCATAACTACAAGATCGTCCTGCACAAGCTTTGCTGCTGTGACCATAGCCTCCGTTGGGTTTGATGCCGGATATTGAAACTCCTCAGCAGTAATCGTGTTACGGAGGATGTTGCCTTGCAATTGAAAGACTTCCGGGTAGCGATGTGTGAGATACTGTGTCAACTCTTCCAGAACCTCAAAGCAGGCTAGTCGTGTGACTTCGTTATCGACATATTGCACGCGAGATGCAACATCCTTCTCAAGCTCGCGTACCTTGGCGTCATGATAGGGGATGAAGTTTGAATCCATCTCAATCCATTCGTTCCAATGCATCTTTCGAATGCCCATAGTAACGAAGTTTGGACCATGGCGGAACGGTCGGTATAGTTTGGGATCTGTAAGCTCCAACTTGTAGCCTTCCGCTGGCCTAGGCAATGGTGTTTTGAACGGTATGGATGACACTTGAGAGGGTCAGTGTCGTCCACTTGAGCAAGATGATTAGATGGCCGCACCTTTGTGTTTCTCATAGTGAGCTTGAGGGAGGATGCTGCGCTTATTGCTTTGACTCCGCCATAGTAGCGAAAGTACAAGCAGAATCACACAAGTCGCGAAGCCTAGAGGCGTAAACACAATCTCAGATGGAACCATATCCGCACTGTGGTAGTGGTATTTTTGCACACTGACTTCGGCAGTGTTGTAAGCAGAAGACAAGACACGTTAAATGCTAGAGTATTGGAAATAGACATTGACAACGGCGAATGACACCACTGGTGGCTATCTACATCTCTAGCGCAAGGTCGCCTGCATAGGTTTGCAAGAAATGTGGGTCGAGAGAGCTGGACGCTGTACTTGCCAGACCTGGCATAGCCTGAGCTGTGAGATACCGATACGCTAAACCCCGGATCCACACCTCGTGGCAAAGATGATGCCTGCGAACCTGCCATTTCGGGAAATTTCATTGGCCCCGTGGGATTGTTCGTATCTGCGATGAGAACCTGTCTGCTTGCATCGGACATAGATCGTGAAGATGCTGCATCGGAAACACTGGGGATAGCGGCCCAATGACAGCGAACTCGCCTATACCAAAGTGAGGCAAATTCCGGGCAATTTCGAATCGCTGGACTTTTGTATGAACAACTCGGTCTTAGTTCAGGACTCGTCCTCGTTATGAAGTAGCCCTTGTATGCGTGCCACTTGAATGCGTAGCGAAGTGGATCAGAGCTGTTTTGCGTTGACTCGATACTTGACCCATACAGCAGAAACATGACCCATACGTTGCGAGGGCATATAAGAAGCCGCCAACTGCGTAGATGTGTTAAAAGCAACTTCAGACAAACGTATACCACGCTTGACAAATTTTACGACATATTTGGTCAATTCCGTACGATCTAATCGTATCTTCTACATCAAGATCTCCAGTATGCCTGCAACATTCGGAAACTATGCGGGTACAGAATCGAAGTCGAAGGCTTTCCATTATTCCCAAGCTGTCAGAGTAGGGAATATTGTGCGGATATCAGGTCAGGGTGGCTGGGATACGGAAGGAAACGTAGCCCCGGATGCTCCAAAGCAGGTCGAACTAGCGCTGGAGAATATTGAGAAAGCTCTTCAGTCGGTCGAAAAGAGTCTGTCTTGGAGAAACGTCTACGCTATTCGATCGTACCACACAAACATCGACGAGTCTGCTGACATGTGCATCGAAGGCTGGCGGCGGGTTATGCCTGATCACCGGCCAGTGTGGACATGTGTCGAGATTACAAAACTTGGTATTGAAGGCATGCAAATCGAAATTGAGGTGGAGGCCCTAGTTGAGTAGGAGTACGGGACCGACGGTTGAAGAAGATGGGCTACAGTGACCAAGAAGTCCATTGTATCGTGGGTGGTCGCCCCCTGGACGTCCTTTCGTTGACGCGCAATGCGCATGCATTTGGGATGAGCGATCGTAATCTTCTACGACAGCAAAGAACAGGGGAGTTCTGTTCAAATGACTAGTGTACACATAGCACTGTTTTTGAAACTTCCGCTCCACGTGGTAGGACTGCGAGAGGGCTCCCACAGTACCAGTAAAGTTTCTCGGACAGATAAGACAGACTCGAATCGCAGGTTTTTGTGTATAGTTTCAAGCGTGCTCATGACACAGTTCCGGTGTGCTTCCAAAAGTGAATGTGCGCCAGCTACATACAGTGGGAAAAGAGTACAGTTCTGCGCTCTAGATCTTGTATCCATGCCTTGTATGCACTCTAAGCACGCATGGACATGTTGCTGGAGGAGAAAATGGTTGGCTGGGATGTTTTGTATAGCGCTGTAAAGGTATATTAGACCAGCGTGCTGAAAACACCGGACAAGGGATAGCGATGCTGTTGCGACCGGGTGGAAAAGGTCTTGTTCCGCATCTCCATTAGGAGATGCCAGCATAGAGTATGTAGGTTGAAGCGCACGCTCAAACGCTTGCACCTTGTCAACACAAATCTCTATACCATTTTGAAGCCTGTGGTGGTAGATACTCATCTCAGACAAAGTTGACAGGACGGATCCAAGCGACTTAGTACCAGAAATAGATTCCCACCACACCGATCCAGGCTCCATGTGCTCCCAAATGGTGGGTGGGAACGAGGGTTCTCTATCTTGAAGGAGGGCATCGGTCAGATCAGTAGACGCTAGTTCCGAGAGCAACATTCTAGTGATTCTGTCTGATGACGACCACGCTGATTGAAAACCACCCATGGCGTTTATAATTGCAATCGCTCCGGCGAGGTGGCAGCGGGTCGAAGCATCATCCGACATGCAGTTGACGTAGCCTTCGAGGAAGTACAACAGCAGCACTGCGACTAGGAGTGCAGAGAGCGAGGCGTTCTCGCAATGCTCGCTACTAAGCTGACCGCGGATGGTTGACAAGCAATGAAGGCGTCTCCTATCCAGGGTCTGTTTTGAAGATCCTCGCTCTTGTAGGGCCCGGTGTTCCTCGGCAAATACACATAAGGCCTGGAGAACCGGTTGCGAGCGCATGGCAAGCGCGACTGGCGGGGGAACTGGCTTGTGGAGAGTTGAGAATAGTGGCCATAACCGTGCCTTGAAATATTCTACAGCTCTTCGCTCATTGACTGCCAGGTGGGTGCTGTTGAGGGTACGCTCTATGGACAGCTGTGGTGGACATTCGGGCACGGTTTTCGCAGGCCGCTTCTTCCATCTAAGTAGCAATTTGTCGTAGCTGCAATCTTCTGTTTTGGAGATGAAACATCGGCGGCACATAGGTTTTTGGAGATCGCATTTGACTCGTCTTTGCTTGCAAGGCCAGCACGATCCTTCAACCGTACGTCGACGCTTTGGCGGACTGTTGCCAGAGGATTCCGGGCGCGACATCTGTGTGCATGACGTGATAGTGGTCGCGGATTCGAAATTAGAGTGGCGAGATCGCAGAAGGAAAGTGACAGTAGGCGTCAAAGAGCGTTGTTTGGACTCTGAGACGGGAAGCACAAGAATGCCCACGGTGTTGATACATGAAGATCAGAAAGGGCGAGACGCCTCCAGGCCTCCGCTCATCGGCACCTCCGTATGCCGTCTGCCAAGACTGTTATTCCCGCTAAAGCCGCCACCTTAGGGCGCGCTGCAGTTGCTGCTTCGTCTCCGACTCCAACGATGCGATGCTCCTGAAATGTCGTTCGGTATGGTTCCCGTTGGATCTCATGGCGGTATGGCATTGTTGAGTTCAGGGCTGGGATCAAGACGAAACAAACAAGTAAGCAGCTTGTCGGAACTCATGCTTTTGCGTGCCGAGAAAGGCAACGCAAACGATACCTAGGTATGCAAAGTTCAACAAACTCGCTCTCCTTATCTGGAGACTTCTACTGTTACAATTCTTTCTAGGGCGGTCTGATCTAGTTGTGGCTTTTGCGATCGATACCAGCATTTCGCCTAACGCTCGACCGTCGGATCAGCCCTGCATTTTGGTTCCGAGCCGTAGTGCCAGGCTGCGCCTACAAACTGTTAGCATATTTTCTTGTTACCGTCCAGCCTGTTAGTACCTGTAGTGGTACCTGCAGAAAAGCGCAGTCAGCACAAGTACCGAAAAGACCCTCGCTTTTGACAGTTTCTACATGCGCGTCGAGGCGTGTTCCAGTCTACACTACTCTCAACATCAGCGTCGGGAATGGTATTGAAAAGGTGAGCTGACGCTAAGGCTTGAGTACCAAGATCAGTCGCAGAACAAGCCACCTTGCTGAATCAGTAGAGTTTGCAAGGCAGTAAGTTGTCTGACCTGCTGTGCCGATGCTGTTGCACACAGTTGGAAGTCTCGCGACGGCTCCGGCTCTCCACAGCATCGGCTGCTCGACTAAGCTAGTGTGGTCGATCTCCCTGTTCAGCCTCTCCACGTATGGTCAAGTGATTGAAGACTCAGCGCTATCTTTTCTATCGCTATCATCACTCGATCCTTGGGTACGAACGACGACATTCCCATGTCGCTTGCTTAAGGCGATGTCGCAAGACAGCTCGATACTACTTTTTTTCCCCAAGAGCCGTAACATAGGTAAGGGGAAGTGAGTCTCAGCTGCTGGTACTGGCTCCCACTAGCTGAAGCACAAACGTACCGCTTAGTCATTTCACAAATGGTAGGAGCCGGGACTGCAAGGCAAGTGATGCGCTTGCTTTTTGCGGATCGTGGGTTCAGGTCCCGGATTTTCATGCGGAGAGTATTGAGCCTTGCCATGCCAAGCAAGCATGCGAGCTTCGGTACCCAGTCCAGCAAGGTCTGGGCAAGCCACCATGCGCCTTCACGAGAAGATACGACATGATCGCTGCCTCGTAGCAATCTAGACAACGAGTACGGAAGCTAGCGGTGATGGAGAATGGCGATGTAGTACCCTCTTTCTCGGCAAGGAGCGTTTCCGCAGCTGCGCATCGGTGGCAACCGCGCAGTATGCGATGGTTGCAAGCTCTCGCCCGCTCGCTATGGCCTGCACTTGCTTGTCGAATGGCGAGTGCTTCAACTCATACTCGTTGAGCAAGATTCAGTATCTGCAACAGCTAGACCGTTCTTCAACGCGCCGCTTCGGAGGCTTGGCATTTTCCTTCTGGACTCTGCGGCGACTATTGGACTGCCAACACTTCTCACCAGGAGCCGGAGACTACTTGTCTCCAAAGATCACTAGTATAGGCTCGGCCCTGCATATCGTAGTCATGACCATCAGCTGGTAGCTGTTTGGCCATGTTCTCTTAACTACATCGCCTTGGAGCGGCTGGCTTGGCTCGAAGCTGCAGGGGTAGATTACTATTTCGAGGACCGAGCTGTATCTTTCTAGTCGACGTGGCTTGCCGTGGCCTCGACTGCGCTGTGCCCTGCTTCCGTGTTAGACGTGATCGACCAGGCTGAAGCCCTTAGGGTTTGTACACGACCGCTGTAGTAGACTGTTGCGGGATATAAGGATGTTCTAAACACCTTATCTTTTCGTTCCTCACCAGTTCATAGTTGCCCATCCCTCGTTGGCTCCTTTAGTAATTTGTTCATACTCTTGTCAGTCGTTACATATTTTCACTTTCAACATGGTCCTAAGTAAATCTCTGGCTTTGCCTCTCCTCGCTTTGTGCTCTATAGCTTCATCTACTCCATTGGAACAACGCGAAGCTGCACCGGGCCTCATCGATAACATCCTTGGCGGTGGGGATCTCTCTGGTATGGAACAGCTTATTGCTGATGTTCTGTCTGGCAAGAGATCGCCTATCGACAACACTAAGGCGAACAAGCCGGTGACATGCTCGTTGTTCAGCGTCGACAAATGCTGTGTTTGTGAGTTCTGACAAACCTTTCTCGATCGTATCGAAGTACTAATAGTTTTCAGGGTATGATGTCTCTGCCGAACTCACGAAACATTTCGTCGGAGCCGACAAACAATGCAACGATAATGCTCGTGCTGCAGTTCGTATGGGTTTCCATGATGCTGGGTCTTGGGACAAAAATGCTCCCAACGGTGGTGCCGATGGATCGCTACTGATGGACTTTGGCGAAGAGGACCGACCAGAGAACAAAGGCCTTCAAAATATTCGCACACTACTTCGTAGTGTACAGGCCAAGTACAAGGTTGGGTACGCCGATCTTGTCCAATATGCGCATAACCATGCCACCGTCTCATGCCCGAAGGGTCCACGCGTACTTGCCTTCGTTGGCCGCAAAGACGCTACAAAGGCTGCGCCTACTGGTCTCCTACCAGATGTTCGAGATGATGCCGACAAGATGATCGAACTCTTCAAACAGAAGGGTTTCTCAGCACACGATCTTGCAGCCCTCGTAGGCGCCCATGCAACAGCCAAACAACGTTTTGTCGACCCTACTTTCGCGGAGAAGCCTCTCGATACGACTCCTGGTGTTTGGGACGTTGAATTCTACAATGACACACTTAACAACCCCGCGGGTATCTCCAAAGACCAAAAGATCTTTGTACTCCCAAGTGACAAGGTGCTGTCAAAACATCCTAAGATCAACGATGAGTGGAAACTCTATGTCGGCAACCAGGTCCATTGGAACCTGGACTATGCGAAGGCGTACATCAGGATGAGTTTGTTGGGTGTAGAGAAGAAAGACCTGCTCAAGTTGACTGACTGCACGAAGACCTTGCCCATCACCAAACCTTCATTTCCTTAGTATATGGATTTTCCAATACCCCCTACTTGCGTTGCGGTATAATTTAATGGTTACTATTAGTATAGATTTTCGGAATCGATCTGCATGTCGTTGCGTAGACTACGAAGTCAATATTGGCACAGATTTCATTACCAATTTCTTTGTGTGCACCTGTCGTATGTGTCGTCCTCAAGATATTTGCATTCTACTCTGTGAACTATCCGAGGTCCTTAGAAAGAAATTGGGCAACGGCGCTGACCACGAGACCGATCAGAACGCGGAGGGCAAGTCGACAAGAACCTTCTTCCTATAGTCACATTAGCAACCTTGTGATTTATTACGCTTTGTTAGCATCCTGTCTTACATCAAAATACCATCGCCACAAGGATCATAGTCTACCCAACGGGGACAGGTGGGGTGGCTGACATAAGCAACAGACTGGCAAGGGTCCGGGTCAGACGAGTCGAGCTTGCTTGTTTGTAGTGCGGAGAGTAGCTCACAAACGTCACGGCCGGCACACGAGCGTCACCACCACCACGATCCATCCGCACACTCGCAGACCGAGACCCAAGCTCGAACCACGATACGAGTGAACCAAACGATAGCGAAGGACACAATGGCAACTCAATTCTTGAGGGCGGCCGCTCGCGCCGGCGTTCGATCACCCATGGCTGCTTCCCGCGGATTCCAGACAAGCGCGGTACTGAGGCAGGATGCTGTTGTCGCGCCAGTCAGGAAGCCCGTTGGTGCCTTTAGGGGAGGGTGAGTGCCCCTCTTGCAGTTGTATTAGCAGATGTTGCCATAGGTGGGATGGCTATACACCTATTTGGAAGCTTGTCGTATGCCAGCAGATAAACCCGAAGGCGAAGCAGCAGACTTTTTGGTAACACACTGGAACAAGAGGATATGGCTAACGTACGACAGATTGTTTGGGTTCCTTCTCGGTGCGACGACATCCGGTGCAGGCATGTACTACTATGTCATTGACGAATACCGCGTGTCAAATCAGCTCTTGACCGAAGACATCTACGTACGTCATTCACATCTACCTTCTCTGCGCATGTTTGCGGATGAAATAACGATATATGGGGGTCGCCTGGGGAAGCGGGCCATTGCTAACGAGAACAGGCTCTCCAATCCGCGGTCCAACGGATAGAAGGCTATGTCCGCACCCTCGAGGACAAGGTCGATGCGAAGAAGCGATAAAGAATTCACCAAGTACCCACCGAATGGCGAATACACAGCAGATTGTGAGGGAGACGTTGAGGAAGACATGCACGAGTGGGGCAGGCAGTATCGCGCGCTGGACCGGCGGAATGGGACGCACATGTACATTACGAGATTGGTCTCTGCCGTGTCATTACGAAAGCGGGCATTTGTCGAGTGTCTATTTTATACCAAACACATTTCAAGTTGATCATGCTGATGTCTTTGGTACTAGTGACAAAGTCACAGCGAACGGGTATTGCATTGTAACATCAAGTATTGCGTGTAAACTCCAACTACAATTTCGGCATCGTCCTCCCGCTGCTACACAGCTACTCTTGCTATTGCATATGACGGTGTAATGACACAACTATGCTTACGCCATGTTGTTTCATTCATAAGCGTGTTAGCTCCAATTTTGATCATAACAGATGCAATTCTATATGTGCTTCCATCCGCATTTCAATCCATCGTCTACGCATATCTCTGTGAGCAACATCCCTATCAAAATCAGTACCTAACGCCTACCATGTTCCATGACGCCAAATGCATCCGAACATCTGACATACGCCATCGCCTTCACAATATCGCAAGCGGCGCTATCCATTCACACTTCGGAGGCGTGACTGGGATGTCCTCATCATCGTTAAATCGTCCTAGTTGCGACACGCGCTTATAAATCTCCTCCAAAATCCTACCCTGCTCGCCATCATACTCCTCTGGTTTGCCCTCTTTGTAACGGTCCTTCGGGTCGATTGGCTTGCCATCTGGTGTGACGCCCTCAACATGGGGACGTGCTGCCGAGGTAGGCTGTGCAATTGAAGGCAGCTGAGAGGTAGCTTGAGCAGGAGCGGGGGGATTGTTAGGTTGATTCTGTGGTTGAGTTGCAAAAGGAGAGGGAGAAGGTGTGGAAGTTGCTGGAGCGGCGGATGTCTGGGGTTTAAGGAAAGGATTAGCAGCTGCTGGCTGCGTCGCGTTGTTTTGCGGCTGTTGGGTGCCGAAAGGTGAGGGCTTGCTCGTCTGGCCGAATGCTGGAGTCTGCGATGATGCAGTTCCACCAAAGGGGTTCGATTGCGCAGGTGCCTGTGTTGATGCTTGCTGTGGCTGACCAAATGGGTTTGGCTTCTGTGCTTGTTGACCAAACGGTGAAGGCTGATTTGTCTGCTGCGCTTGCTGACCGAAAGGAGATTGACCTGACGAAGCTTGCTGACCAAACGGCGATGCGCCAGACGATGCTTGTTGCCCGAAAGGCGAGGTATTGGCACCTGGCTGAGACGCTTGACCGAATCCACTTTGACCGAATCCAGGTTTGCTGAATGGGTTTGGCTTTTGCCCTAGAGCGTTTGTCTGTCCAAATCCAGACGCCGCACCTGGCGCCGATGGCTGGCCAAAGGCCGAGCCTTGGCCCATACTGCTGGTCTGCCCGAATGCGCTTCCTGCGCCCGGCATCGACGGCTGACCAAACCCGGAGGCTCCAAATGCAGGCTTTCCGAACGCACTACCAGCACCGCCAAGCGCTGAAGGCTGACCAAAGGGTGATGGCTTTTGACCCAAAGCAGAAGCCGCGCCAAAGGGCGAAGCTGACTGGCCTGGATTTGACGCCTGTCCAAATGCTGAAGTAGCCTGACCTGGATTTGAGGTCTGTCCAAAAGCCGAAGTAGTCTGACCCAGGCTCGACGCCTGTCCAAACGCTGAGGTGGATTGACCCGGATTTGAGGGTTGACCGAATGCTGAGGTACTCTGACCCGGATTTGATGGCTGTCCAAATGCGGAGGTAGTTTGTGCTGGGTTGGATGGCTGACCGAAGGCCGGCTTTCCAAATCCTGGTGTTGAGGCCTGTCCGAACGCAGAAGGCTGCGAAGATGCTGCTGCCGCCTGAAACGGGTTTGACGGAGCTTTCATAAAAGGATTCGCGGCAGTGTTAGATGACGCAGTCGTGTTAGTCATCGATCCGCTTGCTGAAGCAGTGCCCTTGGCGATGTCGATGCGATTGGGATGGACGTCGGCACCTGCCTGAACATAGCTGATAGCCCCTGCGACGTCGTCCAAGATCGCTTTTACTTGCTGTTGCATCTTCTCGTTCAGCGCACCCTCTTCTTGTTGCTGGAGTCTGTTAGCTTTTGAGGAAACCAGAACCAGATTCCGTACTTACTGCTGTGGGCTCGTTACCGGCCGCTCGTAGCGTATAGTATCGAAGGCGGAGCTCTTCGGGACTGATTTCGACAGGCCCTTCAATAAGCTGTCGTGGAGCATCTTTCCCTGGGCCATAACATGAGAGCGGGTACGTTGGACGCTCCTTACTGAGATCGGCTTGAATGACGTCCTTGTCTAGGTTGAAAGTCGACGACTTTGATTCGCGGCTACCCCCGAATGAGCTGGACCCGCTATTGTCACCCGGACGGTAGCGATCGCCACTGAAAGCACCAAAGCGGTTGTTGTTGGAGCCTCCGCCAAAACCACCTCCCCCTCGGGCTGCATCCCGCGAACTTCCAGGGTGCTCGAATTTGCAAGCATCTGTTTCGCGTGAGGAAAAAGTCGGTACAACATGTCTGGTTGCTTACCTCCGAATTTGCAAGCGTTCCGCGGATAGAAGTTGCAGACGGTCATGTCGCCAGGGTAACTGTTTCGTTGCCTTTGTTCGGGATCAAAAGCTGTGACTCCGAGTTGACTGGGGAAATTAGTAAGATGAGGAATATTGTTTGCGTTGGAGACGCTTCGTGAAAGAAGGCAGAGTGCCTGACTGGAGATTGCGACTGGAGTGAACGGAAACTTCAGGGCGAAGGAACGCGACGCGCTAGCAATCAACGCGAGCAGAGCGCCTGGTCGTGTGCGCTTTAGACAGCAGTGAATTGTGCTGTACAAATCGCATTACTTGTACGTTACCTCTGCCCATCGAAGCTCCCTCTCGGCGCTTCCGGTCTTCTTCCTGTCTCCGCCCATCTCGATTGATGCATGTTGAATGCTAGCCCGTCACACGTGCGAAGCGGTCAACGTAGACAATGTGAAAACACAGTAGAGGAAAGAAGCGAAATGAAAGGTAACACCTACGGCAGCGCGGTAATCTCTATGTTACAGTGCACTTGTTGACAAATGTGGACTTTTCTTGTGCTCTGTCGATGTGAAGCTTTCCTCTGGGATGGCGCTCAACGTTGTCGAGGCAGGGCCAAAAGCGGTACGGGCTAGAGTGAATCTAGCATTAGCGCGTATCCCGAGCAATCGCACCAGTGGCCTTCCACGTACGCGATCATGGCATGTCTAAGCACCGCTCGATGATGCATCTTGCGCCATGTACATCCAGGCGCACTACTCCATACCGCTGTCAAACTACAGATTCGAAATCAAGACCTATTCAAGACATCTAGGCGCACATAGCTGACTGCTAGTCCCGAGCACGCGCTGTTCCCCCTAGACCGTTCCGAACTATCGCTTGGCATGACGGTGTAGATGCACGCTTTCTCTATTCTTACCATCGGAATCTTCGTTGCAGGATACTCGACTGCTCGTTGGGATCTTGTGACACGCGTCTACGAGTTAGCGATATTTGCCTGGGATCACGGAGTGGTGACAAGGACTGCCAAGGGTTTCGCTCTGCTCTCCCTGCTGTTCTTCCTCTTCATACTGCCAATTGTGCGCATCGCAACACAGGAGACGGACCTGGTCAGTATAGGCCATTCTCGCGATTGCAAGCTTTCCGCTGACCGAGTCGAACAGCACCCGCGACTTGCAGGCACCGGCATCTCTGCACGCGAGCAGCTCAAACGTCGCGGTTCCTTCTAGCGGGGTAGCAGGATGAGGACATGGTCACACACAATGGGTTGATGCGCGTATTTTGGCCATCAGACGCTCCCAGGGACTCTGCGCCGGGTGTTCTGGTAGGCTTCAGAAACTCAAAGTCGGATGTCTTTGTCGTCGGTGTGCTACAAGACGTCGAGTTGCGCCAGGTCGAGAATGCACTGCTCGTGGGAACCTTGCTGCGACACAGCCCCCACGATATCCAAGAACTACTGCAGCGATGTGGACACTCCTCTGTGCGCGCATTGGGTTCCGTTAATCCTAAGACGCCAGCCGATCAATCTGGCGCCGACCTTCTCACAGTCCATACCGACCCTTCGCTCCGTTTCCCGCGCCTTCATCACCCCGACGATGCCCTTATAACCATGCAAGTCATCGTCTACGACCGACCGCACCCAACGCGTATGCAATACCTCTCACTCAAGCCCATCACGCTGGCTCTGGGGGACAAGACAAAGGTCGCAGAATGGGACGTGGCTTTCGAAGAGCTAGAACGAGCAGAAGAGAGGGAACGTAAGAGGAAAGCACACCTTGTCGAAAAGCTGAAGCTACACAGAGTGATTGCACATCCTCGCACACAGAAAGAGCTGGCATTGCCCATGATCATTGAGCAGGTGAACTGTTCGTACGAACTGAACGCCCTACTGCAGAAGAATATTGGCATGATTGGCAGACGCATGAAGCGAGCTCTGAGTGTCAGTGAGCGCGTCGTTGAGTCGGCCAACGATCTCTGGGACTACATCTGGCTTGTACTCCACTATGCATTCAGAGTCTGGATATGGCCCATAGCTGCGCAGTTGTTCATTTTTGGGCTGATTACACACCGTATAATGGGCGAGGCAGTTCTTCAGGTTCTGCATTGGCGGCCAGGCTCTTCTGACTCGCCAGCCCTGAAAGACATCTCTGCAACAGCACAGCAGATCGACATCAGATTGCAACAGTCTTGCTACTGGCCCATCCAGTATCTCACCTTGCGCAGAAGGAAGATCAATTGGGAAAGCATCACCAACAGTCACCCAGAATACATCAGATTCTACAATAGCCTTTGGCTGGTTGCTAATGATGTCATAATGGGCATTGCTGTCGGAACATTCATCATCGAGAATGCTTCATTCGTGGCGGCTCAAGTCGACACCATTTTCAGCACCTGGTCGGTCGACGGGCTACGGCGTATGATATCATGGCTCATGGGCTGGCCTGGAGGCTTGAAGTTGAACACTGAGTTGGCTGCATTCCTTGGCGACCTGTTTCTGTGGGTCATCGACTACTGGGCTGGTATGTTCGTTCTACTGTCATTCAAGAGTTTTTACTGACTAGACTTTGCAGGCTGCATATCACTCTTGCGACCAAATCTGCCTGCGCTCGTCCAGATCATCGGCTTTTCAGCTTTTGCTGGCGCCACTATGCCCATCTCAATCTTTTCAGATCTCGTCTCACTATTGACGTTGCATATTTACTCATTCTACGTCGCATCTGCCCGCATCTTCCATTGGCAGCTAACTATCATCATATCGCTCTTTCACCTCTTCCGTGGGAAAAAGCGCAATATTCTCCGTAATCGGATCGACTCATGCGACTACGACTTGGACCAGCTGTTACTTGGGACAATTCTTTTCACACTGCAATTCTTTCTACTGCCGACAGTGTTCGTCTTCTACCTGACATTCGCAAGCGCACGCATTGCAGTCATTGGCCTGAAGGCCGCGTTGGAGATGGGTTTGGCATGCCTTAATCACTTCCCGCTCTTCGCAGTCATGCTCCGGCTCAAGGATCCCGGACGACTGCCCGGAGGGATATACTTCGAGCTTCAAAACACTACCGATGCTAGCTCTAACACGGCAGGCTCGGTAAACTCACCCCCCACTGCCTACGTGCTGCTAAAAGTATGTCGATTTTCACGAAGGTACACTGAGTATGAACTAAAAGCATGCAGTCAATCCCATTATCTCTTCGCGCCATGTTCCAACCTTACTTTGACCTAGGCGATCGCATACGCAAGCACTATTTCTCGCCTAGTGTCTTGCTATGTCTAGTTTCCGGACAATTTGTTCCACCTATTCACCGCCGCAACCTGTATAGCTTACAGTACAGCATGTTACCCGCAAAAAGGGCAAGCATAGGCGAATTGTGGAGAAAGTTGACTGAAAGGAGTGGGAGAACATCATCACACGAGCTGAACGGGTATGCCGCAATGCCACTAAGGAGAGACATACAAAACGGGAAAATTAGAAAAGATAAATAAGAGTTTAAATTCTCTACAGACATCACATGTCTTCATTCATCATTATCCTACGTGTCCTACATCTTGTTCAATTTTTCTCGTAGGAGCCCGCCCGCTTCTACCAAGGACAAGGAGAGTGTTATGGTAGATTGAGTGCCTCTTTTGGTACTAGAAACTCCACAATCAGCTGCAGTGAGAAGGTGTTGCGTCATTAGAAATCTAGATGAAGCAGAGCGCCCCTGTCAAGGCTTATACCCCATTGCAGGTTCATTCGCTACGCCTCCAGACATAGCCAAATGGAATGCAGTACTAGTTTCCTAATTGCGCTCACGCTCACCGTCACGTTCACTTTCACGTTCACTTTCACGTTGAGTTTCCATGACGCAGGGCGTCCAACAATGAATCTATGAATGCTTTCGTTGTACGCTTACGACCTCACAGTCTTCTCACTCCTCCATCGTCAACTGTGATTTTCTGCAATACTCAGTCATCAAAGAAACTTCTCACAATGGCGACCAAAGACGCCGTGCAGACTTCACAAGTCGGTCGTATGAAGTAAACCATTCTATACAACTGCCCAATAATAATTTCAAGACTGACTTACTTACAATTGTAGATTCGACCCTTCTTCGTTCTTGCTCGTTCGCGTGGGCTGTGATTCCTCTCAACAAGAATTCCTACTCCATGAGGGCATTCTTTGTGCACGTTCAGAGTTCTTCCGCCGCGCTCTAAATGGCAACTGGATTGAAAAGAAGGAACGACTTGTCAAGCTACCCGAAGACGATCCCCAGACTTTCGCATTCTACGTCAGCTTCATCTACACCAATGTGATATTCGACGCTACAGCCCTCCAAACCATGACACCGGACGAGTTCCAAGCACACATCCTAGCTGTTGTCAAACTCTATGTCCTAGCCGAAAAGCTGCAAGACAGGCAAGCCAAGAACGAGGCTTTGCGGACCGTGCTCAGCGACACTGCAGAGCGATCGTTTGCCGACAGTCTACCTAACGCCGAAATTGTTCAGTTCATGTACAACAACACCCTACAAGGTAGCCTTGGACGACGTCTCATGGTCGATCTCTGGAACGACGTACACGCGACGAGCATCATTGAGCAACGTGAGGGCATCTGCAAGGAGTTCTTTGTTGATCTCGCCCATGCACTCCTTGGTGAACGTCCTTCGCGAAAGCGGAACGGGGCTCTGTCCTATGGAGCCAAGGAATATTGCGAGGAGCTGTGAGGTTTTCCGTATGACATTCATCATATGGATTACCAGAAGAAAATCGTTTGTCCAATTGGCATGACAGAAACAGATGTGGGTTGGCGTGGGAAGATTCATGTCTGTTCACGAATTCCCGATTTTGACATTAGACCAAGGGTGTGGCAGGCGATGAGCAATATGACTACCCGCAATCAACGAATGTGTACTTGTAGTGTGACAGCTTTGTAATGATTAATGCCTGCATGTGACTGATACGATACGCCTTGCATCCAATAACTACCAACCTCATACATCGTAGAGCGCAGTCTGACCCGTAAACCAACGCTTCAAATACATGCCGAAAGCTTTTCGTTTGACAAAAGCCGCCATCAATGATATGCAAGATGGAAATGAATAGAGATTACCTCCTCAGTGTGTGCGGGAGCAAATACGCCATGACTCCCGTGAATCCCATGTCTCTAAACGCCAAACCTCGTTCTGCTGATTACGCATCTTCGGACTCTCTCATCGACCAACGGATGGAGTCGTCATCGCCAGGAGGCTGTGGCCAGTGGTGCGGTTTTGGTGTAGTGCTGCCAGGTTCGTCGTCGAAAGGCTTACGACCCCATACTACGTAGCTACTCAGCGTTAGTATGTGATTCGCCTGATTACATATCCCGACTCACAAATTGTAATAGGCATGTACGTTCTCGTCAACAATCGAGTTCCTCACATGCGCGAGATAGACCTCGACTTCGGCTGGTGTCCAGCCCAAGCCAGTGACAAAGTATTCAAGCGACCATCCTTGCAAACCCAACATCAAATTCCAGCTACAATACTTGCCAAGCATTTTCTCGCGATCGCTTTTTGGCCATTGATTGGCGGGGATAGCAAAAACCTCCTCATGTACATCGACGAAACCAGCTTCTTTGTACCACCTCTTCAGCTTGTCTGCGATGCGTAATGGTCGACCGAGTTTGTGTGCTGCCTTGTCTGCTAATTCTGACCACTCTTTGAGCGGATAGTCTTCGGGCATGTCGTCGGCACATTGGAGCTTTGAAAACCATTCCTGAGATTCCATCCACCCGCCAGGTCTCAGGTTGTTATAACTCTTCTGTATAATTTCTCGAAAGTCGTTGAAGATGCCGAGGGACATGCGTGTGTGGATGTAGTCGTATATATAAGGTTCTTCTTTGGGATACCACCATGTTGGGCTGAGGATGTCTTCCATGTAGAAATCGATGTTTGTGTAGGATATTTTTCGCTGGATCGGTGTCAAGTCAATGCCTTCAACCTGTTGCTGGATTAGAATGGTAGAGGGAGAAGAATGGAATCGCGTACCCGGCAGTTTGGGAATTCGGCAGCTACTACTTGTCAGTGGTGGTTCTCCGGGGAAAAGCAGGCATGGCACCTACCCATCTCAAAACACCAGATTCCGGTGCCACAGCCAATGTCCAACATTCTCTTTGGCTTCTTTGGCTTGAGCGGTGCGAAGTAGTTCCGTCTGTGCAGAAGACATTTAATAATGGCATGTTGCCAGTCCAAGCGGTATTTCTCTGGCTGTAGATGTGCGAGTCAGCGACGGGCCGATTGAACAAAAGAGGTGTTTCCAAGCAGCGCGTACCTCGTCATTTGGGAATGGGTAGGCTAGAATGAATTAGCTACAATTGTGCGCAAAGTTGCCCCGATTTGACGCTTACCTCCGGCGTGAAAGCTGTGGTAGGTGCGACCGTACTTCTTCTCGTTCTCGTACATGCTCGGCGAGAGGCTTTGTACTTCGCTAAGACGTGTGAGCGCGCGCGCGGTGTATCAACGAGGGAGGAGTGAGGTACAGGTCATCATATTCTCCATCCGAGGCCAGTTCCGACTGCGTGTCTGCGTTAGTCTTGTGCACTTTATGCGCGAGGGTGGTGGGGAGCATGTGCATCAGCAGCAGCAGCAGCAGCAGCATACCTCAGGCTCGACAGTCGAGTGTGTGAAGTCGGTGAGATTGGTGGCACTGGACAGCGGCCGCAGCTTGTCCTTGGGCACCGGATCCGAGGTCGAGGTAGTCATGATGGGTTGCTGGTGCGCTACGATGCGCTACAGAACACGCCCCGAGTCGTGTCGAGGAGGAGGCGAAACCCAGCGGAATGGCTGATGTCGTTCCCAAGACCCTGGCCTTGGGGGGCCGTCACGCCGATAGCGAAAACGCCGACGGGAGCGCTAAACGTGGGCCAGTAAACCCCGCAGTCGTCCCAACCTCGACCGCCTGTCTGTTGCCAGCTGTCCAAGAGACCCCACAGCCACCACGACTATGTCGAATGACAGCTACAGCTTTACGCCTCATGCTACCAGTACCGCCTGAGTGGCTTTGAACGTGCGTCGGCCCTTCCGAGACGCTGGGTGACACTCACCGACCCATCGGGTGCACACCCTCGATACCTCTGCATCTGTCAAGAGCTTACCATTGTTCATCTTCTGCTGTGCTTATCGTCCATCATCTACCTAACCCCTTTGCAGCTTGGCCCTTTCGGCCCCTTGGCCGCCAAGGATTCCGCCCGCTGCATCAACCCATGCATCGCATCGAGGCCAAGGTTGTGTCAAATTGTTTCCTGTTTGCCCAAACTGGCGGGTTCAACTGCCCTTGCACATCCTATGTCGAACTTTTCCAGTATGCTAAGAACTCTCTTCTCTGATCTAGTCGTTGTTGTTCTTATCCTACTCAACAAAGGCGAGCATGGCTCTTTCTATTCTCGAGCTGATCTGGATCTACACCTCTACTTTCTGTACTGATCTGCCCGTCTTTTGATCAAATTTATAGTGGCTGTGCACTGAAGTTGGTCGATAGAGCTTGCATGAGGCTGGCTCCGGCCAAGTGTCTTGCTGAAGACGAGGAAGAGAATCTACACTGCTGGGTGCTGAGTAACGGTTAAAGTAAGCCAAGCATATTTGTGCGAGGCCAAGGAAAAATAACATACTGAAAAAGTGCGTGGGGTTCAGAAGGAGCAGCCAGACGAACTTGGCCAAGGACATGGGAAGGGGGGAAAGCCCGCTGAATATTGTGCCTCAAGTTGAACGATACGGAAAGCATGAAGAAGAAGTGGGAGGAGAAAAGAAAGTGCAAATCACATTGCATCAAGATGGTGATGCACCTATGCCCCGCTACTAATGTACAGGTAGTTGTGCCAGAGAAGCTTTCGATAACGCATTATTTACCGGCCCTTCTTGACCCAGCCCTCCAAGTTCTCCCGTGTATCGGCCAGCTTGCCCTCGACCATACCAACAGTTCCCTGTGCGTGTGCCTTTCCAGTCTCAATGAATTGCGAAATCCTGCTCTTCATGCGCAGATGCGTGTCTGCGAGGACGGGGTATCGCTCTTCGTAGGTCCAGATGAGGTCTCCAACGTTTTTGGTAGTGATTGGAAGGACAAAGTTTGCGGCGGTGATGCCGACAGCGACTGGAACTGAGGTTCGCAGCAAAATGTTCCTGTTGCGCGTAATAATGGAACCTGCCATGGAGGAAACGAGGACATAGAGAGCACCAGGGAGGACCTTCTCGCCCGATTCTCTCGGCGGGGCTAATGAGCGGATGGTGCTTGTGAAGGAGTGCTCGAGGCGGAGGGTTTCGGTAAGGGCGTTATCAACGGCCTTTTCACCGCGCACCGCTTGCTCGTACAGAGCCATGCGCGCGCGGCCAATCTGGACTGCGAGGCGGTCGGTCGGTGTTGGGCGGTAGGTAGACTCTGGGGCCGACGACGAGTTTGATGGGTCTACTAGAGAGGGAGCAGTAGGAGCTGTGGTATCGATGGGCATGTCATCGTAGATGGGTTTGCGGTCCTGCCGTGACGTTAGCATTGCGATGCACCCACGGGCCAGAGACTCTGAAAAGGAGTCTCCGAGGGCTCAAAGGCATGCCGACATACAAAGTGATCCGCGGGTCGCTCCTCTGCATACACGGTTCCTGGTGCGAAGATTGCGGCGGCCGAAAGGGCGGCCATGGCGGGGACAGCGGCGCGCTGAACGAGGTCAATACACCGTCTTCCATCTTGTCAAGACTACTTACCTGCCGTAACAGCGGTCTGAAAGCCATATCGAGCGTGGGGCAGGCGCAATGCGTCGAGTTTGGTGGTGTCCAACTTGTGATGTTGAGCTCAGAAGACGCGGAAACGGCCGTGCGAGCGCCGCAAGATTCCCGTCCTCGGCTTAGCTATGACATCGTGCCCCAGGTGCGTCTTGTCTTCTCCCTGCCAGGCCACCCTTCACCCGCGCAACCCAATATGCTTAAGCGCCTCGCACGCACAAAGCAGTCGCCATGGGTCTGCCACCAATGTCTCCAACACTCCCGCCGCCAGCGACGCTTCAACTCCACTGTGGCCGCCGCCGCCGCCAAACCACGCGATCCTGCCCCCAACCCGCTCTACGGCCTGTCTGCCAGCGGCAAGACAGATGACGACGCCCTCCGCAAGGTTTTCGATAATGCTTCTTTCTGGGACAGCTTCAAGCGCGCATCCCAGAAGGGCACACCCACAGGAATAATAGGCAACAAATACCTTACCCATCCCCAGGGTTTCGTTGACTTTGTCACTGTGACGATACAACGCTGCAATGCCGTGGTGCAGAAGGTGGCAGCAGCGCAGTCGGTCGACGACTTCAAGCATATGGTCAAAGACCTCGATAAGCTCAGTGATCTGCTGTGTCGGGTAATAGACTTGGCCGACTTTGTAAGAGGCACGCATCCGGATCGCAAGTTCCAGATCATGGCAATGAAAGCCTACCAAACCGTGTTCCAGTATATGAACCAGCTGAACACGACACCAGTACTACATGACCAGCTGAAGAAGGCCTCGGAGATATCCGAGGTATATGACACATGGACCGAGGAGGAGCGCATCGTAGCGAGGATACTGATGGAGGACTTTTCAAGATTTGGTATTGGTCTAGACGACAAGACAAGGGAGCGCCTAGTAGATTTGAGTGGCGAGATTGCCGATGTTGGCAACGAATTCGTCGAAGGCATGGCTCCGGAGAAGCTGAGCCTGAAGTTCAAGTCATCAAGGCTGAGAGGGCTGGACCCAAACCTCGCAAAGGCACTGACAAAATGGGGCGAAACTAAAATTTCCACCATGCACCACGAGTCGCAAGCTGTGCTGAGGTTTGTAGAGGATGCCGATGTACGGCAAGAAACCTACCAAGCTGTGCGGACAGCGAACAAACCAAGCATCGCGCGTCTAGAAAAGCTATTGAAACTACGAGTCGAGTTGGCGCAAACATCAGGCTACGAGACCTTTGCACACATGACGCTAGAAAACAAGATGGCGCGGACACCAGAAGCAGTCAACACTTTCTTAAAAGCACTCTACGAAGATAGCCGACCAGCTGTCCTCGCTGACCTAGAAGAGTTGATGGAGTTGAAGAGAGGCGATGCTCACCAAGACAACTTCCCCAATCGCATCAACGCTTGGGACAAATTTTATTACACACAGAAGATGCTTGCGACAATGGAGGGTCATTACAGGCAGCGTACACCCGACTCTTTGTCCGCATACTTCTCTGTTGGCACTGTACTGCAGGGCATATCGCGACTGTTTGACCGATTGTATGGTGTTCGCTTCGTTCCCAAAGAGACCCAGCCAGGTGAGGTATGGGAAGATGGTGTGCGACGACTAGACGTCATCTCCGATACCGAAGGCCATATTGCCGTGCTATATTGCGATCTATACTCGCGACCTGGCAAAACCCCTAATCCGGCTCATTTTACTCTCCGATGCAGCCGCGAGATCCTGCCTTCAGAGATGGAGGAAATGTCACACATGCAGCATCGTTTCTCTTCCCCCATCGAGGCAGCCACAGACGGCATGCCCGTCTCCTACAACGCCGAACGCAACAGCTACTTCCAATTACCCACAATAGCATTGATTTGTGACTTTAGCAAAGCTTCGCACTCTCGACCAACACTCCTCAACATCCACGACGTGCGCACTCTCTTCCACGAAATGGGCCATGCACTCCACTCCATTCTAGGTCGCACAGCTCTGCAAAATGTTTCCGGTACTCGCTGCGCGACCGATATCGCCGAGCTGCCTTCGGTTCTAATGGAGCACTTTGCCTTTTGTCCCCATGTCCTAGGTTTATACGCACGACATTGGGAAACGGACGCCCCTCTTCCCATGGCGGCCCTAGAATCCCGCCTTGCAATCGACAATCGAAACCAGTACTCTGAACTCGAAAGCCAGATTCTCCTCTGCATGCTCGACCAAGCGTACCACTCCCCGATTGCCGCAGACCCGAATTTCAACTCGACAAAAGTCTACCACGACGTCTACAACAAATACGCATCTGTCCCTGAACCCGCCGGCACGGCTTGGCAAGGTTTCTTCGGCCACCTGTTTGGTTACGGCGCTACATACTATTCCTATCTCTTTGACCGCGCGCTAGCGGCCAAGATCTGGAAGGATGTTTTCCAGCACAATGGCCAACAAGGTAGCTTGGATAGGGAGAATGGTGAGCTTTACAAGAACGAGGTACTCAAGTGGGGCGGAGGGAGAGATGGTTGGCAATGTTTGGCTGGTGTCTTGAAAGACGAGAAGTTGGCCAAGGGTGGAGAGGAGGCTATGGCCGAAGTGGGAAAGTGGGGAATTAGAGAGGCGAGGGGGAAGTAGAGAGTAGATGGCGTTTCTTCTTTCCAAAGCTTGCACGTACTGAAGGATGTATAGATGATGGCTAGATGATTAGAAGTTGGACTGAGTGTTGAAGAGCACCCGGGGCATTAGACCATAGAGCTTGATACTGCAGATCGCCTGCCATGATGTGGAAATTTAGTTTATACCCCTTGCTATGTGATCCCCTACTTTGTCTCGTATTTCCCTAATTATAATCTGTACCTGACAGATCGGCTACCCACCCATTCCCCTTCCTCTATCCATGACCCCCGCTTTGATCCTCTCCACAACCTCTCTACCCAACCACCTCAGTTGTCCATTCTGCCGACTCGCTGCGTCCGCCCATTCAAATACGCCTTTCAACTCCTTCAGTTCTTCTACCTTCCAGCTCTTCGCTAATCTACCTAGGACCAACCTCGACTCCACAACCGTAGCTCCAGGATCAAGCCAACTCTTACTATACTGATCGAGCGGCAATATGAGTCCCGCGTCGCTGGCAGAGATGAATTGCGATAGTGCAGGGAGTGTGAAAATCCAGTGGAAGAGAAGGTTTGTAGTCTTCGACGACTGGGCGTCGTTGAGTGCGACAAGGGTGGCGCTGAAAGACGTAGCGTAAGTATCGTGAGCGGAGCGACGCCGAACATTTAGCGTTTGGTTGCGCTCAAAGGATTTGAGATGAAGTGGGTTGTGCACAAAGTCTAGGATCGTAGGCCAGTATGTTTGATCCGCCGTCTCGAGGCGACTGATCAGGTGGATCTCGGGAAGAAGACAGGGCGCTACTAGTGTTCTTGTCGCCATCTGTTGGTTGCCTTCTTGGGTGTTCTTGAAGACAACGGTGATAGGCATAGATATCGCACGTCCGGTGTCTACGTCTCGCACGACTAGACACCTGGGCTCAGCAGCGAGTACCCAGAAATGACGGAAAGCTTGTAGATGTGCCCTTGAGTCTTGCACATCAGAGGGGAACAAGGGGTAGAAAGCACATATCAGACTCGCAATAGCCTTGTTGCTTCGACTAAAGGTTTGTGTACCGCCTGCAATAAACAGAGTACCGAACGCCATGTGAGCAGCAAGGTGAGAGCCATATGGGATATCGGGTCCGATACGTCCATGGAGACCGCGTAAACGACGGAAGACGTCGAGGTCACCTGTTCCTGCCATGACGGTAGCGGCGGCTAGTGCGATGAGATCTTGACAGTTGCGTACTGTGTTCTTGGATAGCTTGGAATCGTAGCGTACGGCAGTAAGTTTATTGATACGTATCAGTTGATCCAGATACTTGATCAGGAAGTCTCGGACTTGGGTATCCCCTGTACCAGCATGCTTGAGACTCACAGCCCACAACAGACCCGCGAGGATGTTGTAAAAGGGCATTTGTTCGCTACGGAGTCGTGTAATGCCTTTGAGATCCCAGGCTTCGCGGTAATCGTACGGCAGGTTCTTGATTATCCAAGAATCTGAGGCTTTGATGTCGTCCCACATGATGAGGTGCTTAGCGAGGGTACGGAGGAGAAATATGTCTGGGCGAACATAGTCGAACTGGGGCAGCGTGTCCGGAATATCAATCTTGCGCGCCACGGTTTGGTCGTGAGTTTTCATGAAGATGAGGGCAACCGCGATAACCGCTCCGGCTGTAGCTTGGTCGAGAATGTGGACAACGTTGACCGGCTTAGGCGCTACAGCAACGGCCATTAGACGCTCAACGATACGCATATCATGGAGACCTCGAAGGTCTTTGCCCTTGCCTAGGTTTATGAAACCAAGTGCAAAACCCGCGGCGAGCCTGTAGGCTTCATCTCGCAGGCTGTCTGGTGGCTCTGATGGATCTGGAATCTCGACATACTCGATTTCTGAGAGCATAACCTCGCTCATACGGCGGTGCTGGGTGTTGTAGTAGAGCAGACCAATACCCATTAGACCCGTAGTCTGTGTGTAAGGAGAGAGGTTCAACTCGGCTGCACCTTGCGGTAACATTCTTGTGACATGCACCGACAGTAGTCTTGTCACGAGTGTGTCCATGGTGCCCATGAATGAAGCGGCCAAGCCTAGTAGCAAGCCTACCGAAGTCATGGTGTGCTTTGGAGTAAGGTATTTGAACGACAGCCATTTCGCGATTGTCCTCAGATGGCCGTTAAGGCCCAGGCCAAGTAAAAGCCCTGCATGCTTGTTCGTCAGCTCCACAGGTTTGTTGTACATTATCCACGAAGTATCGATACCCTGAGCATCTCGCGATATGCTCAGTCCAGCTGCAGCACCGGCATTGAAGAAAGCCCAGAAATACTTCTCCTCAGAGTAGTTCTGTCGTTCGGCTGTAACGACATTGCCCATTGGCTTCATGAGGCATGATGTGGAAAAGCCATATAGAGGGTATTTCTCCGTCAGTAAAGGCTTCTTGCTGCTGAATTTTATCATTGAACTACCCAACGGCAAG